ACAAGCCAGCGCTCCTGGCAAGATGCGCTATTAGAAGTTCAGTTAGCTATTAATAGTACGATTAACCGTGTCACCAAAGTAAGTCCTTTGGAATTAATGATCGGCAGGGAAGGAAGGCCATTCGGTTTGTTGCCTATTACAGAAGAAGAGGAGGTAATAGATAGGGACAAAATTAGAGCGCAAGCCAAAGAAAACATTGATCGGAACGCCAATTACGATAAAAAGAGATTTGATAAAAACAAAGCAAAGATTGTAAAGCACCAGGTTGGTGACTATGTTTTGATTAAAAATGAAGAGAGAAATCAAACGAAGCTAGATCCTAAATTTAAGGGGCCATTTGAAATTATTGAAGTTTTGGAGGGAGACAGATATAAACTAAAGTCGTTAACTAGTAAACGGCAGTATAAATATGCACACGAACATTTACGGTCTCTACCTGATACGCAAATACTTGCAGAAATAGATGAAGAATTTGATCGTTCGATTGATGAAAATAATTAGCTCCGAATGTCAAATGTGTATACGGCTGCACCACGATTCTGTGTGAATGCGTGGCGGGAGCATATGTATGTGTATACGGCTGCACCACGATTCTGTGTGAATGCGTGGCGGGAGCATATGTATGTGTATACGGCTGCACCATGATCCTATGGGGATGCTTGGCGGGAGCGTATGTGTAAATCCTACGAGGATGCTTGGCAAGAACAATTGTGTGAGACTGCACCACGATTCTGTGTGAATGCGTGGCGGGAGTATATGTGTATACGACTGCACCATGATCCTGTGTGGATACGTGGCGGGAGTCAGGAGGACGAGTTGGTGTCCAATTGGAAATAAAGAGAAATTGTGAAAATGAATATTGTTGAGATATAACAAGAAACGCTGTTATTGGTTGTATGTTTATGAAATAATTGAATGATTTGGATTAGAAGCTAATGTCAATAAAAAAATTGAAAGGAATACTGCTTGTTGTAAAGCTTAATGGGTCATGACCACGCATACACGAGGACGTGTGCAGGTCAGGAAGGCCGTGTCGCAGTTCTCAGAAATATTTGAATTCGATGAACGCTAAAGTTATTTGGCGCTCCGATTTGGTTGTCGCTTGGCATAAGCCGCTGGTTCCTGGTAAAACATGGATTCTAGGAATTCCTACTCTACTCGTAGCGCGACGGCATTGCCAGATCTCTTTTAGAGTGGCGTAGTCGTCGAGTGAGGCCCGGTCGCCCAAGAGAGAGAGAGAGAGAGAACCAGAGAGCAAGAAGTTGCAAGAAGATAAGCTCTGGTATTTGAAGGGTGGTCAGTTTGAATTGGGCTCTTGGCGCGATCGGGACTTACTGCGCAATCGAAATGGCAGACCATGAAAACACTCCTTCTCCGTTAAATATATATTTTTTTAATCGCGATGGATAGAAATATTCCTAGTCTTCAATGTTGCAAGCACAACATTTTAACAGAGCGCATTACTGTTAAGCTATCAACTGTCAAAGTCAGCTGTTTGTGCAACTTGAAGCGAGCGTTGTTAAGTCGTAAATTTTTCTTCCAAATTTACCACTAAAAAAGAAGCAAAAAAACCAATTCAAGTGCAATTTTTTGGCATGCAGTCCAACAATAGTGGTTTGTATTATGTATTTGTAAACGTGATTTGTAATTATCGATTGTGACGTTCCTGTTATTTTGTGTAAGTTATAACCCCAAAAAATATAAAAGCGATTGTTAATATAAATATAAAAGTGATTTGTTATTTTTAAATAGAGCTACAAAGTGATTCAAGCACTTTCAAACTCTAAAAATTGTTACATGTTGTAGGTTATTCAAGTACTTTTCTATTCTGTTAGTATAATAGTGCACTTTTGCGCAATTTTTCTAAAATTAAGCTTTTTAGGTTCTAACCTCAAATTTGCAAACTCCTAGTTTCTTAACATATGTAAAGCAGAGCCGACAAAGAGTGCAAAGGAGATTGCCATCTTCGAATTTTTGAATGCGTTAATACGTTGTCCTTGTTTCAAGCAAGATGATGCAATTTTGTTAAAAAAAAAAAGTCAAAGCCTTTGCTACAATCACTAACCATACAACATATAGACGGTCATTTCATACGACGCATTTGGACACAAAAAAACGGACCGCGGAAGGTCCACTGTGCTCACAGCAGCAGGTCCATACACTTCGTGTGCGTTCGGGGTTTTTGCTCTCTCATTCTTATTCTCATTTTTACGCTCGCGCACTCATTGCACGAGTTCAGTCGTTCAGTCGCAGAGAAGCGCTTTTTGAAGAAGGCTGCCCTGCGCTTGAATTCGTCTTTGTATGTATGCGTGATCATGCATTCTCATACACGGGAGCATGTGTGCGTTTATTTCATTTCGGCGCATCAAGAATATTTTGTATTTTGCCAGTTTTCAAACTTGGTACCCTAAGAATATGGGCGTATTTACTATTGGGTTATGACATAAATATTAATATTATATGTTTTAATATATTTTTTTAATATTTCAGCATACATTTTATTTTTGTTTACAAATTCAAATCAGTGGTAGCAGTAAAATGTTTTACATATATGTATGTATTCGAATTTATAGAAATCATTCCACTGAGATGGGAACAGGGCATATCGCAGTCGTGTCACTTGAAACACCGACTGCTCTTCAGTGGTTGAGAAAACTTCAAACTACATAAATCAATTCTTGTCGATGTTTTGCGAGCGGTTGGTGCCTGCATACCCTACCGACGATTGCTTTTAAGGGGAGCGGGCTTTTAGGACACTTGTTTTAAATGTTATGTTTAGTGATCTTTGGTTGATTTATTTTTTAATGATTCGCAGTGTTATTTTAATTGTCTTTAAACAATTCGTTAAAATTCAAGATATTGGTACAATTAAAATCTAAAATTATAATCATTAAAATAAATTATTATCATTAAAAACATGTGGATTTTTATATTTGTTCCATTTACATTTTCAAAAATATAAAAAGTATTTTATTATTTATTACTTGTTTAAAGACAATTAAAATAACACTGCGAATCATTAAAAAATAAATCAACCAAAGATCACTAAACATAACATTTAAAACAAGTGTCCTAAAAGCCCGCTCCCCTTAAAAGCAATCGTCGGTAGGGTATGCAGGCACCAACCGCTCGCAAAACATCGACAAGAATTGATTTATGTAGTTTGAAGTTTTCTCAACCACTGAAGAGCAGTCGGTGTTTCAAGTGACACGACTGCGATATGCCCTGTTCCCATCTCAGTGGAATGATTTCTATAAATTCGAATACATACATATATGTAAAACAATTTACTGCTACCACTGATTTGAATTTGTAAACAAAAATAAAATGTATGCTGAAATATAAAAAAAAAATATATTATAACATATAATATTAATATTTATGTCATAACCCAATAGTAAATACGCCCATATTCTTAGGGTACCAAGTTTGAAAAGTGGCAAAAGACAAAATATTCTTGATGCGCCGAAATGAAATAAACGCACACATGCTCCCGTGTATGAGAATGCATGATCACGCATACATACAAAGACGAATTCAAGCGCAGGACAGCCTTCTTCAAAAAGCGCCTCTCTGCGACTGAACGACTGAACTCGTGCAATGAGTGCGCGAGCATAAAAATGAGAATAAGAATGAGAGAGTAAAAAACCCGAACGCACACGAAGTGCATGGACCTGCTGCTGTGAGAACGGTGGACCTTCCGCGGTCCGTTTTCTTGTGTCCAAATGCGTCGTATGAAATGACCAGTCTATATGTTGTATGGTTAGTGCTACAATGTAACACAGAAGGGGGCAAAGTGCAAAAGAAACTCTAATCTTTTCAGCCAAAGGCATTCTTCTTGGCTAAGGAAACGAAGCGACAGAAATAGCATCCCTGCAGACGGGCAATTTTTGATAACTGATTCAAGCTGCAAGTTCAGCTTTATTAAAACGAAGTTATAGATTTCTTTTTTACAGAGTTTTTTAAACTTTTTTCAAAACAATTATTGCGTTTGCTCTGAAAATAACTTCTCCCAAAAAAAAAAAACTTGTTATATCCTAACAAAAAGGTATCGCCACGCCCATTTTTTTTCCAACCGTGTATTTTTTTTAAATTATCTTCTGAATAAAAAAAAAATTTTTTTTTGTTTAGTATTTAGCAAAAAAAAAAAAAACCTAAAAAAGGGCGTAACCTCGCCCATTTTTTTTATAAAACCTTGCTTTTCGTAACATAGACTAAATTTAAAAAAACAAAACCCGTGAAAATTGCTTCGTATTTAAGTTATTAATTAATGTCACAAAAAGTAGTCGTTTGCCCCATTGTGCAATGCATTCTTTTTTATCTCCTGTGATTTGTACAAAAAATAAGCGTTATTTTCGTCTTGCTGCTGTTGCTGTTTTTCGTGACTATGACTCCTAGGTTTACCTAATGCAATTGTTATTGGTTTGATTGCCGGCATTAGGTCAAATATTGGTTTATTAGTTCTTTCCGGTTATTAGATTTGCAAGGGAACAGTGCCCTTGCGATTTGGTATTGCTTCCAGCTTCTTTTCGCTTTTAAGTTTTATTTTTGTTAAGATTTTTATTGAAGTTTAGGAATTTCGCTTACGAACACACTTGTGGAGCGATCGAAAACACGTCTGCGCGGGGCAACTGTTGAACAATATCGAATGTTTTAAGTTTTTTTCTCGAAAATGGATATCAGACATTTTATATGGTAAAGGTGCGATTTGATTTTTATATAAATTAAAATACAGCTAAGTTCTATTTTTTTTAAATTGTTTCCGAAGCATATGATAAAGTCGACCGATCCCGCTCGTTACGAACTTGTATAAAACCTGCAATAGAAAGACATCTTTTGGGAAAGTTTTATGATTAACGCACGGGTGGTCGGACATGACTGGATCGACTCTTCTACTGATCAAGAGTAAATACTTTATAGGGTCGGAAAGTCTCCTTCACTAAATTGCAAACCTTTTTGCAAGAGTAAAAAAAGTAAATAATTAAATATTAATAACGTACTATAGTGTATCTGGTGGTCCAATTATTAAGACTTCCCAGCGAAATATATCATTTTCATCAATCAAACCAGCGGAGAATCCTTCCACTGGATTTTTGTTCAGTTCTGAAACGATATAAATATAAATACATTAGAAAAAATAAACTTTTTTATAATAATTTTTTAAGAGATGTCACAGAAAGATCGTTTAAACGAATTGCAACCCTACAAGTAAGGAGGTAAACTTCGACTTGCCCGAGCTTACATACCCTTACTTAAAGCTATTAAGTACACCATCACTTTATATATCAAAGCACTTTTTTTATAAATTAGAAAATAGCAAAGGTTTTTATATTTTTTTTTTGGATTGTTCTTATAAGAGCTATATGATATAGTCATCCGATCCGGTCCGTTCCGGCTTATAAATGTACTTCTTTACCCTACACAAGGGTATAATGAAACAAAAAATATTATTGAAAATCTGTGGGATAAAAGGTAGGGCAGACCCATCTGCATGCTATTAACCTGTACCTCACTTGACTTCTTCCTTACGCTTTGAGGACAAATACAATTTCAAATACTCCGGGGAAAAACCAAAAAAATCACTATTTTTCAAAAAAAAAAAAAAAAAAAAAAACATTCATGGGGACATGTAGTGAGTGTGTGCATAGGACTTTACTATATATAGCCACAGAATTGAAAACCTGCTGTGTTGGTCCGATCGTAACGAGTAATACACCAATCGAAAGGTATAGGGATTGCATACCCAGACTTTAGGAAAAGTAATTGGTTCACTAAAAAGAGCGATGAAAGTGACATACTAATATATTTTATAAATTATGTTCTTGAGCCCGGGTTTATAATACATTCTACAGTTTTAACACAATTTAAATTTTGTTGAAAAAAACCGTCGAATGACACCCAATTGCTTAGATTTGATGCTTCGTTTAAAAGTTATTAAAAACCTTTTTTAGTAAATCTGAAAATGAAATTATTTAAAGTCTCTGATTGACAATTTCAAAAATTTTTAAGTACTTGCTTTACAATTCTGGGAAAATTTTTTTCTTTGTAGGAAATATACCTGGATGAAGCGGTCCGCCGAATGGAAACATTTAAAACGTTTATTTATATATAGAAAATGCTTATTGATTTTTCGTCACAAAATTTAAAATCAGATATTTTGTGTATTGAATGTTCGATCGCCACAAACAAAAGGAACTGTACGGTTTGATCAATATTTATTTTATTAAAGCATAGGTCACACGCTCTGAGGGGCGGTCAGGTGCAATTGCATCGAGGGTACTAGATGGCTTTCTATGTACGATAATGATTACTAGTCTACTATCTTCATATTTATAACCATTAATCCCAGAACCTTATTAAATTTCATCCTTATCGTGAAAACTTTTCAAACAAGGAAACCATTTTACGTTAAAAAATTTGAACGCGTTTGTCAGAACTATGTTTTCTAACCGATTTAAAACACAACTCTTGATCTATTGTTCTGATTTCCTACATTCAAACCATGTTTGCAAGGTAATACATATTTGTATACTACAAATTTTAAAAAATCTTAGATTGCAAATTTTTCCTACAAGGTCAAATCACAGCCTTTTTTCACAGGTTGCCATTTTAGTAAATGTTTAGTCAAAAATAATTTCAATCAAGTAAAATCAGAGATAATTTTATCAATTTTGATAAACAAAAGACATTTCTAAATTTATTTTACTACATGAGATTGATATTTGAAAAACCGGACAATGTTTAGAGTGCAGATGCCGACAAAAGCAGATATTTTAAATTTCTCCCGACGATCTATATAAATAGCAGGAAAAATAAGGGGATTAAATTCAAACTTAAAAAAAAAACGGAACGATCGCTTCGCGTTTGCATTGTGATTAATCTGTGTTAAATAAATTAAATCATTTTTAACATTTAATTTGGTGTTAAGTTTGTTTGGTTTTGTAATTCTGTTGCCTCCTTTCTAAGTTTTCTTGTCGCAGATCTCTAGCCCTGTGCTATCGGTGCCCGAATCCCAAAAGCGCATAAAATTCGCCATCGGTGGGGAGCCTTTGGCTAACGCCGTGGAACCCGCTCCCCGCGATTCACAACCCGCAGCACAGCTGCCGATCTTAGGTGCCGCTACAATGATACTAAGACCGGCGGTAAAATAAATTCATTACCCGAATGTGTGGGTCGCGACGTGGTGTCGCCAGGGACATCTGGTTTGTCCGAACAAAATAAATCAGTTACCCTAACACCTCATGTTGACCTAACGTCCGGATAACCGGGCAACACTGGTATTTATTATTATATTATTGTTGACCGTTGATGCACTATAAAGCGAACAAACAAGTGCCCCAACTAACCCAAGCACGAGCTCGTTACGCGCGGGCCATTGCATTGTGGACAATTATCGAGGTCACGAAGAAAACACAAAAAAGCATAATAATACATTTATAAAAAAAACTAAAACTAAGTACGGTGCAAATATGGTAAAACTGTAGTTTTTTTTTTTTATGCAAATTTGATTATATACATTATTATAATTATTACAAATAACTCGAATGGGTTTATGGAGGCCAATATTTGAGGTACATCTTGGTAAGTTAAGAGGATGGTAGTTGCGGGTTGGTCTAAAAGGCACATTAAAACTAAAGCGGCTTATTAATATAACCTTTGACAAGATTGTGCATTAAAAAAGTTCCATGCATGATTCTACGATTTTTAAGAGTTGGTAAATTAAGCAATAGTAATCTACTAGAGTAAGAAGTAAACCTTACGTTTTGATTCCATTTCAAACTACGAAGGGCGAAAAAATAAATTTTTTTGGACCGATTTAAAACGATCAATGTGTATTTCATATTGGGGACTCCAAACGGGAGCGCAATATTCTAAATTAGGACGGACAAGGAAAATAAATAATAATTAAGTTATATAAGGATCGTCAATTTCTTTCGACCATCGCTTAATAAACCCAAGAACACTCAAAGCCTTGTTAACTTGACTTTATGTGACAGTCGAATTTTAATTTTTATATACCAGTGACATATTATGAAGAGAATAGCTTATAAATGAAGGCGTACCCCTATAAAAAGTCATTACTTAAAATTTGAGGCAATTCTGATTTAAGAGGTTAGATTGACACTATCTCTAAAAACAATTTATATCAGACTGTTAGCCGAATCCCGATTGCAAATTATTATAGGACAAAGTTTAATATCATCAGCATACATTAGTACTCGAGAATGTGGTTTGACAGAAAGAAGATCATTGAAAAGCAAAGTAAAGAGCAAAGGACCCACATGACTACCATGATGCACTTTAGATCAGCATTTTTAAAAATATGGTGATATTAGTGAGAAATACAAGTGTTGCAAATGAGAAGTAATAATGCGCTCAAATACTTGAGGTATTGCACTTAATTTAGAAATACCTCTATAATTTTGAACATCCGACTTTTGTCCCTTTTTATGGAGTGGAATAATAAAAGAATCTTTCCAGATAATTGGAAAAATCGATGTTCAGGTAAACAATTTAAGCAGTTTAAGAATCGGTTTACAAATAGTTGAGGCATACTGACTTGATGAAAGCAGGAACCTGATAATACCCGCTGACCGTATTTGCATTCAACTCCCTAAAAATAATGTACAAACGGTCACTTCCATTCTTCTTCTTTACCAATAACAGTGATCCTGCAAAGGGGGGCAGCAAGGTTGACTGGATGGATGCCTGAAGTTCCTGTATTTTGTATCTCACTAGCAATCTTTTATCAAAAAGTATGGAACGGGCTCACCGTGGTGGTACAAAATTCCCATTGGATCAACGACATTTCACACATCCACTTGCTTGACGATGATGGGGCCATTGTACATGTGGTTGCGATATGGCCCAGCTGGCCACACTTGGCACATGTCACGGTTGACATGTGCCTCCTCGGCACAGTGTGGCTGCGAATCGAGTTGCTTTTTACGTCACTTCCTCCTCCAGATCTCCTGCTTCGACATTCTGCAATTTTAGGTCCAGTTTTGCCACGGCAATCTCTGCTTCATGCTCAGGGGTTTGACAATCACTACGCTTGCGAAAAGCATAGACACATACATTATGTTTGTTGTAAATAGCAAACGTTGCAGCCGTTTGTCCAAATGCGCAGCGTAAGCCAGCACGTCCCATACCGCAATTTCTTCATAGTTCATCTTCTTCCACTTTACTAACAGTGCCGTCACTTGTCTACTAGCATATACAGACAAACACACGCTTGGCTTTGGGCCACTGCTGAACATGTTTAACAAAATGGCGAAATGGTGTCTCAACACCTTCGTAACGTTGAATAAAGAGTTCTTGAAATTCTTTTCACATTATCCAAGTAGCAGCGTCAGCATTCGCAGCGTTTGGGCAGAATTTTGGTGGCGTCACTTTGGTGCATCGATTTAGTTAGGTCCAGATTTTTGTTGTCCTACCAATAAGACACGCCATTGACCGTCAGGTTAGTCTCGTGGTGAAGCGGACCCCACTTCTGATATCGGAGATGACCGAGCTTGTACCGGTGCGTCTTCTTTTTCTGCCATTTCTTAATTAGGATGACACTGCAAGTCGCATGTACGTCCTTTCATGCTCTAGAACTGACTGACCGGCTGTCAACCCGTCAGGGCTCTCATACTCCTTCTCTTTCGTTTTTATCTTTCCAACAACTATACTCAGTGAAACAACCACAGGCGCCATGTAAATCTGATTCAAGACATCGGTGTCAGAGCGTAGGCATAGCACGGCACGAACGTTATAAAACCCCTATCGACACAAATACACCCATCGCCACATATAAGCCGCAATATGAAAAAAGTGCATTTTTACCTTCAGTATGCGGGGGGTTTCTTTAAATGCTCTTCGGGTTTACTTTTATTATTGGCTTTGTATATTACCTACACAATAACGTCAATTTAAAGCGCTGCTGTTAAAATAACTCAGTCAAGAATATTATTTGTGAAGCAATTGACTATTCGTGAGGAGAAAATTATAGTTTTGTATTATCAAACTGGTTTAAAACGACAAATTCTCTCTCTCTCTCTCTCTCTCTCTCTCTCTCTCTCGACATCTCAATTACATTATTATGAATCATCAGTGCGTAAATTATAAATAAATACCGTGATACCGAAGAAGTAAATAGAAAAAAAAGAGCGGGAAGGATAGACTCAAAAATGCTGTTGTTATAGCATCTGAGAATCGGCAAGAATTTTGAAACAATATTTCTGTGGGAACTATTCAAAGTCGGCTTACCGTGGTGGGCTAAATGGCAAGAACACCTGTCAGAAAGCCACTACATTACTTGCGGATGAAGAAAATTAGGCTGATCTGGGCCAAAGATAAGGAAAATTGGTCACGAGTGTTTTTCTCAGATGACTCCAAGTTTAACCTCATTAGACTTGGTGGCTTCTGCAAGGTGCATCGCAGAAAGGGCGAACGCTTTTTTAAAAAATGCTTTGAACCCACCGTTAAGAATTCACCATACATCATGGTATGAGGAGGCATATCCAAAAACAAAACTGAATCAATTATGATGATTCAGGGTTTGGTTAATGCTGAGAAGTACAAAGAAATTATTTGAAGTGGAGTTATGCCGAGCATTAAATCCACAACTGAAAAAGAAGAAGAACCTAATTGTTTATATATTTTTATTGTTTCCATGGGAGCTATATGATATAGTCGTCCGATTTTGATGAAATTTAAAACGTATTTATGAAATATTTAACCAACAATATATGTCGAAGAAATAAAAAAATATTAAAAAACAACAAAGTTATAATTTCTATTTTACTTATTTTTTAGATTGTTCCTATGGGAGGTATATGATAAAGTCGTCCAATTTTTAAGAAATTTAAACTGAATTTGGAAATAATCAACCAATACAACAAGTTGAAAAAAAAAAAAAATAAAAAAACAGCAAAGTTCTTATTTTTTTTATACCCTTGCAAAGGGTATTATAATTTCAGTCAGAAGTTTGCAACGTAGTGAAGAAATCATTTCCGACCCTATAAAGTATATATATTCTTGATCAGCATCACAAAAAGAGTCGATCTAGCTATGTTCGTCCGTTTCTACGCAAACTAGTCTCTCAGTTATAAAGCTATCTGCATTAAACTTTGCCAAAAGTTGTCTTTCTATTGCAGGTAGTGCATAATAGCCTGATTCCATTGCCGCATTAGTGAACTTTTTAAATGTGCCTGATTCCATTGGCGCATTAGCATTTAGCTAATGCTACTCCGACATGTGAGTGGCACGAACAGCTGAGCTGGGTTTGTTTACTTTTGAATTTTGGCAAATTCAAAAGAAATTAGTTAAATTGATGAACATGAGTGAGTTTACTAAACTCTGTAATGCTTGGCAGGACATCCATAATGCGACCTAGGCATTTGCCAACTTGGACGACAAGGAAGAGAAGCTGATTGCGTTATGACGGGTTCGCAATGAAGACCACCACAGTTTCTAAAAAGAGTAAGGATCTCCGTATATGTGGGCTTTATTTTATTGTAGAGATCCAGCAGTAATGCATTGTGGTACTGCGAGCAGAATTTGCAGCGTGCGCTCTATGTTTCAGTCATTTTTGTACAAAATAGATTTTATATTCAAAAGACATCAAAAATTGCGCCAACCTTGCATATAGAAAACAGCTGTTGTGGTGGTGGCACGAACAAAATATCGTTATACATCGGTATTTTTCGGTATTTTTTCTAAAAATGTTCGGGGCGAATGGTTTTTAATCGCATTTAAAAATCATATTTATTTTAAATGCGGCATTTAGCCTTATAGGATTCCCTGTGTAAATAAATGTGCATTAGGCTAAATGCGTTTTAATGCGCCAATGGAATCAGACTATAAGTCGGAACGAGCCGGATTGGACGGCTATAGCATATAGCTCCAATAGGAACAACCGGAAAAATAAAAAAAAATAATATATTTGCTGTTTTTCAATTTTTTTTAGTTCTTCGACATATAGTAATGGTTAAACATTTCAGAATTACGGTTTAAGCTAAAAAGAATAAAACTATTAAAAAAAATTTTTTTAATTAATTCTTTTATTTTTAATTTTTTTTTTGAGATTCTTTTTGACTAATTAATAATTTGACAGTTCAGAACATATGTCGAAGAACTTAATAAAAAACAAGAAAAGAAGCAAACTTGGGCAAGCCGGAGTTTATATACCCTTGCAGTTATTGCAAAAATTAAATATTCTTGAAAACATTAAAATTATCGTTCACTTGCGTCAGTATATGTTTAAAAAAAATTGCGCTATGATGATTTGTAGCTCAATTATTCGATAGTTCGTATGACAGCTATAAAATTAAAAGCGTAATTCTGAAAAAATTACATTTGTTTAATATTTTTATTTTTAACATTTTATTGATTTCATGGGAGCTATATGATATAGTCGTCCGGTTTTAATGAAATTTAAACAGTAATTCTGAAATATTTGACCATTATGTCGAAGAACTAAAAAAATATTAAGAAAGCAGCAAAGTTATAATTCTTTTTATTTATTTTTACGATTGTTCCTATGGGAGCTATATGCTATTGTCGTCCGATTTTGATGAAATTGAAACCGTAATTCTGAAATATTTAACTATTATAAACCGTAATTCTGAAATATTTAACTATTATATGTCGAAGAACAAAAAAAAAATTTAAAAACAGCAAAGATACATTTTTTTTATTTATTTTCCGATTGTTCCTATGGGAGCTATATGCTATAGTCGTCCAATCCGGCTCGTTCCGACTTATATACTACCTGCAACAGAAAGACAACTTTTTGAAAAATTTCATGCAGATAGCTTTAAAACTGAGAGACTAGTTTGCGTAGAAACGGACGGACAGTCGGACATGGCTAGATCGACTCTCCTAGTGATGCCGATCAAAAATATATATATTTTATATGGTCGGAAACGTCTCCTTCACTGCGTTGCAAACTTCATTATAATACCCTCTAAAAGGGTACAAAAGTAAGAAACAGCTAAGTTATAATTTTTTTTTATTTATTTCTCCGATTTTTCCTTTGGGAGCTATATGCTATTGTCGTCCGATCCGGCTTGTTCCGACTTAAAGAATACCCGCAATAGAAAGACAAATTTTGGCAGTTTCAGGAGACTTTATTATTTGTCGCCTATAAGCAAAGATTCAACACGATGTTGTGATTGCCTTTCCTTTGCAATACTTCAGTCATGCGTCTTTGCAAGGAATTTACAAGCTTTTCAGTTTGAGCCGCTGTCATTAGCTCCCATTCTAATAGGAAAATATCTTTTGGCATTGCCTTCGAAGTTTTTGTGTGCTGCCTGATCCTTCCTTCCTATAAATGCCATTATAGAACAGCTTCCTTACATTATAGATCAGCCAGGGCCCAACATTTTGGGGTCGTTTTCTTGCCCAAGTTTTACAGCACTTTAGATAAATTATCCTTCAAAAGTTGTATGTACACCTTGTGGTCCATAATACCTTCTATAAAGTAAAACTGTCAAATATGTTACGATTTTTGAAAACCGACTTCCAACTGCACTTTTCATGAAGTCAATCGTGGGATATTTTGGAATTGTAAAACTATTTTGTCATCTTTATTAAGCGACATGGGCGGCCTTCGCGGATATTGGAAATCATATAAACCGTCGAAGTATAAATGTATTTTTAGGATGGTTTTCCTTTTGATTGCTTACATTTGCCCTCTATTGACTTCCATGATTTAAAGTGCATTGTCATATCAGTACTTGTTGGCCTACCTTGAAAAACCAATCCAAATCGAACCACTAAATTCTCCTGCTATAAGCAAACTTATAAAAGCAAGTTTTTTTAAGGGTTTGGGGGAAAAGCGCTTTATAAGAATTCCAAAAGGGATACTCATTTTTTAAATTAACGAATATGAAAATAATTGTTGCCACAATTCATCCAAAAAATGCATTATTTTTTTATATCAGGAAATGGCCTATGCATTTGCTGTCAAAGTGACACTAAAATTTTGGCCCTGTATGCAGAGATATGATGCTGACGCATCCAAAATGTTGATTCCAAAAGTCCTTGAATTTTCCAATAATTTCTGGTCAAAAATAAGAACATCTAAGAGAAAACACATTGACAAGACATACACACATACATATTTCACAACTAATAATGCAGAAAAATGGTTGTTTTAAGATATTATATTGAAGTAAAAAAAAGGTTAAGTAAAAACAAATAATTTAATATCATTTTATAACTAATATAACAGTAAACAAATTTAAAATCAACACCTAACAGAATTTTTAAATGTATGTAGTAAGAATTTCTTGTGCTATAATTTTAAAACCATGCGGACAACTAAATTAAAATATATTATGAACATACATACATAGTCATGTATGTATATACATATATATAATATGCTCATGAAATTGTTGAACTTACCTGCCAATTGTTTTTTTAACAGTAGAGATGACTGAAGTTCAGACATTATAAGTTTAAAACCAATTAGTTTTAATAAAACGCACAACGAATTTTCACAAATAAAACTAGTTAGTTCTAAAATATGATGGTCTCCAAATTGTAAATATGTTGATCAACCAACAGAATTTTCTTTCTTTAAAGACCAAACATAAAATTGAACTAGTGTGGTAGTTCACGGAAAAACGAAAAATAAAATTTTTAATAATAAAATTTCTCACCACATTACAACTTATATATGCCAGTTTTACACGGAGCAACATCTAAGTTCAATAGAGATTACATTCCCATATACCTAAGAACATGTTCCAACATTTTTTGACTTGCAACCTGAATATTTTCTTTTTAGATAATAGTAAAATGTTACTACAATGGTGAAGTTACATTTAACTTGTGTGATATAACTAATGGAGGCTAAAAACCAAACATTTTATAAAAATAATTTTTAAAGATTTTATTTAATATTTCCGATACCATAGACACGATCGAATATTGGGTTTCAAAATATCGAAAACATCGAATACGCCAAACATCGATATTTCCCAGTTTTATCCAATGTACATGGAGTGTATGGAATTATCGTGACCGAAATTTAATTTTGTGTTTTCTCTTTTTTCTTCTTAGGTTTGCTAATTTCTAGTAGGCCGATCAGCTGTTATGGCATTAGCGGGTGCCTTTGTAAGTGGGTCGCTATAAATTTTCGCTGGAACTCTTTTAAGCGGTTGTGTGCAGACGCAATAATATCTATGTGAACATTTCAAACTGTCAGACGAGGATAATAGGCAATTCAAATAAGCCTTCGTCTACCGTTTACCGTCTAATACTTAATTCACATTACGGTACATTTTGGGGGAACGATGAGAAGACGGTGAAAAATTGAAAATCCAATTCACAATTCCACCGTCTATCGTCAACATCTTCTTCTTCCGAGTGCTCAAAACAAAAAAATGGAAAGCCCATTGGATGTGTCTATTATTTTGGCTGCCGCCGAGCAGCAGCAGCTCAACTAAGTGCAGAGCATTGTCGAATTTACTAAGTTTTGGTCGAATTTCACTTTGTTCTGAGCACTTGGAAGAAGATGACGTTGACGGTAGACGGTGGTAGTGTGAATTGGGGATTTACTTTTTCACCAACTTCTCATCGTTCCCCCAAAAAATACTGTAATTATTAATTTAAAAATTACAGTTATATAGTGATGGAATCAAAATATACTAAATATACTGGGTAATACGGAAAAGTTGTGATGGCTAGATGGTAAAGGGCTAGATGGTAAAGGGTAGACAGAGTCAAATGTAAATCGGCTATAACGTCAATAGTCAGAGAGCAGATGAAGAGAGCGGACGTGTTTCGCGCGAAGTTGAAAAGCTGAAGAAAGTGCATGTTTTAAAGATAAATGAAAAAATACACGAACAAAAATAAGATTGGTGTATAAAAAAATATACAAAGAGACGCTAAAACAGAAAAAAAGTTATTCAACTCAAAAAAAAAGCAATGATATGATTAAAACAAGTGCATTATTATTTTACTAATAATGCCTAGCTAAAAAGAAAAAAATGAGCTCAATGAGCGACGATCCAAGTAAAGAGCGCCGAAGCTCCACGATCCGAAGAGCGGGGTACTTCTCGAATATATCAACTAGCGATAGCGAAGTGTTAAAAACGTCTACTAAGGATAACTCGGTAACTAATGGCGGTCGATAACCAAAGAGCACGGTATAGCCCCCACGTTCTTCATACTCTACATACATTCTACATACTTTCTTTAACGGCGTGAAGTTCTCAATGTAAAACCTCCCACCATCAGACTCGACAACTGGAACACCAAAAATATGCAGCGGTAAAACGTCTGCATTTGCACCAAAGGAAATAGCAGCAAATACAGCAACGGCAGCAAAATTAACAACAGAGACAGAAACGGCTCTTATCGCGGAACCAACTGCGAAGTCGTTGACCGCAGCGCCAAATACAACGACAACAAAAACTCTGACAGCTAAACAAAACCAAAATCGGGCCTGGCCATACAATCCGGAATGGATCGCTACATACAAATTAAGCGTAAGCTTAGCCCGCAGATCACCGGAGTTGGTAACAAACCAAAAATAAACCGTGTCCAAAGAGACATCGAATTACCCGGGAGTTCTAATGACAACAGATTAGCGCTCCTAGCTGAAATCCAACCAGAACTGGGTCAAGAGACCCAACCGAAACCTAAGCCCCCACCAATTTACGTTAGGGAGAAAAGCTCGAACGCCCTGTTCAACAAATTTATTGTTGTTAAGACCAAATCTGAAGAATATTTCCGAGATGTATCCAAATACCTTGACGAAGCTTAGAAAAACTACTACAAGTAAGTTTATTTGTTGATCCGGTGGGTGATGAGTCGCCGTCGGTATCAGGAAGTTCCTTTTCTTCCTCTTAGGCGAACGTTATGTCCGCTGTTAATTGTTGGCCGGCTGGCCGAAGGTGTCCCAATGCTGAATTAGGATGATTACGTTGGAGGGGTGACTGCCCCTCTTACCTGCTGACCTATGGACTCAGACAGTAAATAATTATATGCAGTTAACGACTGTTAGTCGGAGTTAGGTTTATGAGCTATGGCTCTTTATTATTCAAAAGTTGAATCAGAACTGAAACTTAAAGCTAACATAATTGAACTTCATAGCGGCCACTCCAATGGGCAGTGCTTGCCGGCTATGCACGAGCATCCGGCCAGACGCTGTGTCAGCAGTTTGGCCGGCGCGATGTTTACGTAAACTGTGGTCAACAACTTTGGTTTTGCTGGCCACAGTTAACTACTCCCCCTTTTAAGCTATGACCGCCCTCGGTCGATCCTAAATCTGCAATCACTTCTTTTATTTGGATGGCAGATCTTTTTGCCCTACTAAGTCGCTGATAAGTAAGACCAATGCAGATAAGTGCACAGCATGTTGTTCCTACAATAATTGCTGCGAGATACATTTGGTTGTCGTCAATTTCGTCTCGGAACTCCTTGATGAACTCCAGGTTTCGTTCACTGAAGCGGTGAAGGTACGGGAGGCTGAGAACATTTTGGTTGGCAGTGATGTTCAATAGGGGGGAACTGGCTGCCCCTGGAGTTCGCTTCTGGGCGTTAGCATGATTGATGAAGAGGGTTTCATTTATTATGGCTTGTTTATCGAAGGTGATAAGATGAGTGCCATGTACCCAGACTTCTGTCCCATTGTCCACTCGAACACTGGCAGACCTGTCGTTGATGATTACGATCCCTTCATCCACGTATGTGATTGGGTGCAGGTCGCTCTGTTGTGTTCGGCAATACGCCATCCCACCAGCATGCAGTTCTTTGGCGCATGAACTCTCCGCCAAACGGCAGAATGTGGCTCCCGGTGACACGGAGCAGTTTTTAATGGCGTAAATTTCTCCGCCGCATTCCGCTATAATGTTTTCTGTTATCTGCAGCATTGTCTCACTATGAGCGACTGCAAAGATAGTAATCTTCTTGCATGCTAATTTTACTTTGGGAAATTTTATGATGAAATGTAAAACGTTAACGGACTGCAGAACCTTCACGGACGAAACGGACAAAAGGTCCCCTACGGGGGTGTTGGTGGGTTCCTCAAGTCAAACTGATTTTAAGTCTTCATGGTCTAAAATGTTCGTACTAACAATATTAATTTTGGCAAGGGTTATTGCAAGCATTAAATTCTGTAACTCCATCATCAACATTCTGTTTCTAGCAAGTAGTGTCTCATATAGGTGTCCAGTGTCTACTTGTGAATTTTTGGCGGATCTCAGAATTTGATTAACGGTCGATGTTAGCTGATTAATTTGATTTTGGATTTTCGTGATTATTTGAATTTGCCTATTGCTTGACTCAACTAGCTTCATTTCGGTGAATCTGATTTTCTCTAAATCACCTGCGTCTGGTGTCCCTGCTACGACCTTTAACGCTGACCCAAAGAAATCTAGACTCCTAGCTACTCGATGATGAACGCCCAACGACTCTAACAAGTCCTGGAGGTGGGCGGTATCTACGCTTAGAAGCTTTTTCATGTGGAATAGTGGAAACATGTCTATCGTGTTGTCTGTTTCTTCCACCACGCGCGCACACTCCGAGAGGTTCGTTGTATGGGTGACGAACGCGAATTCTTCCCACACTAGTATTTGGCCGTCAACGATGGGGATATACTTTGCCTGGGAATAATCAGTTATGTGAGCCGACGCCAAGGATAGGAAAAAATAAGGTATGAGTACGAACCTGCGGAATTGAACTTTAGCTATTTTTTGTTCATCGAGAGGTATCCCACCACCAATAAAATAAGCTTTAACTAAAAGGCATGCCGGTGGCAATGGACTTATGGTTAGTACGAATTAGCGCCAAGTGGCTTAAAAGTGTAATAAAAATGGTTAAAGAAGGACATTATCTAATTGTGTTATTTAAGATTGTCCTTGTGGACCACCCTCCCCTTAATGAGGACCGTGGCCCCCAGGTCCGCTTTTACAGCTCTTTCCTCACACAAGGGTGTGAGTTTATTTCCCATCCTTTTGTTGTTCTTGTTCTCCAACTTCGAAGTTTCTTAGCGCGTCCTGTGCGTTTTTTATCTTTTCCCGGGCTTCTGTTTGTAAGTCGTTCGAGTTCGCCTGCACAACATCAGCTGGTCTTTTGTCAATGACCGTGTGGAATGATTTGTTGTACCTGGTAGTGTCGGTTATTCCGGTGTCGATTTTTAAACATCGACTGAGTTTCGATAGAGTACTATGGAACCGCTCTACCTGCCCGTTTGAAAAACTATGTAGAGGCGGTGCACTCGCAATGCTAACGCCAAAATGATTATTGAGCAAGGTTGAGATTGTCTGCGACTTCAACGACGGTTCGTTGTCGCAATAGATTACTCTAGCTTTTGGAAAATAATTCATCAGCTGAAGTAAAGCTGGTTTAAGATCCTCAATGATCCTTGAGTGGATGTCTTGCACGACAGCAAATTTCGAAAATTTGTCGATGCAAGTGAGAATATATTTCCTGTCGGTGGAGTATATGTCTATGTGCAATATTTCTCCTATATGAGAGGGGATTGGTGTCTCACCCAGCTCCTGTTTTTTTGGATGTCTGTCGTATTTGGCTCTCGCGCATGTCTTACAGTTTGAGACGATTTCGCTGGCCAATTTTGCCATCTTCGGGAAGTAGTAC